CATCATAATGATCATCATCATCATCATCATTATTATTCTTATTATTATTAGTATTATTATTATTATTATTATTATTATTATTATTATTATTATTATTATTATTATTATTGCACTACTGCTCTGTGTGTGTGGGAGGAAGCGGCCGGAAGGGTCAAACCTAAACGTTATACATATCTAACTTTCTTGATTTATTGTTTTGCCAATACTGGGCACTTGTTCTGTATTTTGGAGGTTGCTTGTTGATGGAAGTCCAAGCTATTGCTGTCTGGTGGGAGGTCAAGGGGTTGCGGGGGGGGGGTTTAGAAAATCCTGAATGATCAACCAGAAGGAAGAAGGCCAGGGGTTTAAGAATCCGGCTGCGGAGCCAGGTTGGGAGTTCGATTCCTGCACCTTGCCTCCCTGACAGGGGCTAGAATGGAGGATCCTTAAGAGTCACCTCCCACCTCTGCATTTCTGACATGATCATGATGGCAAAATTGCACGATGGCAGTGAAGATGCTGTGATTTCTTGCCATAACTCCTGACGATGGGAGATGGAAGATTCTTGAGCAACGCAGCTCAAGAGATCCTCCATGTATCGTTGCAGTCTACCTGAGAGTTGTCAGGCTCTTTGTCCTCCCCTTCCAGGGGGGCTCTTCTCCCCCCCCCCATTCTCCTTATCTTTATAAGAGGGATACGGCAAAGAGTAAATCTTCTGTTGATGGGGGATGAGGCTGAAGTTTGAACCGGGACTAGATGACCCGCAGGGGGCTGGACTAGATGACCCACAGGGTCCCTTCCACCTCTGCGGTTCTAATAAGGATGAGGATGTTGATGATTGGGGAAAGAGGCCAACCTTTGAGACTGTTCTTCGTCCTGTTTTGCGAACCAGCGCCCAACCAAGCTCATGGAGTTCTGTTGATGGGGGATGAGGCTGAAGTTTGAACCGGGACTAGATGACCCGCAGGGGGCTGGACTAGATGACCCACAGGGTCCCTTCCACCTCTGCGGTTCTAATAAGGATGAGGATGTTGATGATTGGGGAAAGAGGCCAACCTTTGAGACTGTTCTTCGTCCTGTTTTGCGAACCAGCGCCCAACCAAGCTCATGGAGGACGCCAACGGGTTCTAATAAGGATGAGGATGTTGAGGATTGGAGAAAGAGGCCAACCTTTGAGACTGTTCTTTGTCCTGTTTTACGAACCAGCGCCCAACCAAGCTCATGGAGGACGCCAACGTACGACGGGTCTACCCAGCTACGACGGTTGACTTGTTCACGAAGAACCAGAACCTCCAGCAGGAACTGATGCTCAGGTTGTCGGAAGGCCAGTACGTCTTATGCCGCTGGACCGATGGCCTCTATTACCTCGGCAAGATCAAGAGGGTATTATTTATTTTCCTTTACGAGTTGCCCCTTTGTCATCCCACTCCTTCTCCAGGCGGCCCAACCCAGCCACCTCTTGGAGGGAGAAAAAAAAGGCAAGAAGCAGAAGTCATTATTATTGGCGGATTTAATAGATTAATTGACATCCCACCGGAGAGCTCAGATTTGCATATGTCACTCTTGATCTTGAATTAAGCCTTGTTGAGGCTTAATTGAGAAGGAAGGAAGGGCTGGCCCCAGACCAGCCAGAGGTTCTGCTGTGTTCTCAAGGCAGAGTAGAAGCAGGGGATGGGTTATTTGTTTCCCCTTGGAAGTTTACATTCTGTTGGGATCAATGGGTCCAGGTGGGTGGGTTGGGCCAAAAAACAAACACGGCCTTCAACAGCAAATAGTCTGTCCTCCAGCTCTCTATTGACCCCCCACCTATGACGTTCATTTGTTCATCAACCCTCCTTTCTGTCTCACCCCCCCATTCACAGACCATGCCCTAATTACTTTTTCTATACGCTTGGGCATCTGTTCTACCTCCGTACACCCGTGTATAACTGCCAATATGAGATTTATTAAAAAATAAAAGTAAGATTTATCATACGTCAGGGAACTCCAGCCTAACGCAGGCACCCGCCTTCTGACGAAGTGGCCTGTGGGTCTCTGAAGCTTACATCCCAGGATAGGCCACTCACAGATGGTCTTCTCTGTGTCTCACAGCTCAGGAAAGTTATCGGTTTGCGCCCTAACTCTTCCTTGCTGCGCTGGACCATCTCTAAACCATATTCGGGGGGTTATTGAACTAGTTGGATAGCTCAGTGAAACCAGAGGTTGGGAATTCAAATCCTCCCACAGGGCCTCCTTGACAGGGGATGGCCTCGATGATCCAGAGGGAACCTTTCCAGTCCAGTTCAGCAGTTCTAAGATGAGGGTTTACCATAGGCTTCCTTGCTTGGTTGTTGACCTGCTTTCTTTCTCTGTTTCCAGGTGAGTGGGTCAAAGCAGAGTTGCTTGGTGACCTTCGAAGACAGCTCCAAATTCTGGGTGTTGTGGAAGGACATCCAACACGGTGCGTGAGCGGACGTTTTTTGCCTTCCTGTGAGTTCTCTCTGCCCCCCCCCCCTTCAGGCCTCCTCTTTGTGTAGCAACACTGAGGACTAGAATCTTGAGGTTGCAGAGCAGGCTGGGCCAGGTGCATCTGCAATGTTGGGTGATCCGCTGGGACCTTGATCTAGACTCTCTCCTCTGACTCTCAAGTGGCTTTATCTCTCTGTGCGTTTGTCCGTCCCTGTGTAACTTTTTGTGACCAAGCCTGCCGCATATATCAGAAGCGACCGAGGCTGAACAGAGACCATGAAACATTTAAAAATAATGTAGAACATAAGTTTCCGAGTTCTGGTGCTACTCTCCAAAATTTTAAGCACTCCACAAAATGATAGATCCTAAAGGACAGAACAACGAATATTAAATACTCCTTCAGCGTCTAAGTGATATTGAACTGGTATAAGTACCTAGTACAGATATACTGAATTAGACCAAGAGGGGGGTAATCATGGTATTCCTGTAATATATAGATTAGGGGGTCTAAAAAAACCATCCACTCCATTCCCAACATTGGATACCAAACGGACTTTTTCTCCTCTTATCAGCGGGTGTGCCGGGCGAGGAGCCGAAGTGTAACATCTGCCTCGGACGGACGACGGGACCGCTGAACGACATCTTGATATGTGGAAAGTGTGGACTAGGTACGTGGAACATTCTGGATGTCCCGCTGCCCCATTTGGTGGGGCTACCAAGATGGCGGATGATCAGCCATAAAAGACCTTTTGCTAGTGAAGCGGCATTTTGATGAATAGGGGAGAGGCTGTATTTCTGTGGTTCCATCTTGATTAGATCATCCAGAACTTGGAAAAGTTACTTTTTTTGAATGTCAGCATCTAGGATTTCCCAGCCATGAGCGGTGGGCCACCCTTTGCTCTCATACCTCAGTTAGGAAAATACCTCAGGTCCTTATTGAGCTGAATCGGTCAACCCACATTACGAGAATCCCACGTCCCGGTCGGAAATGTTTGCTCTCTCAATGGCGACTCGTGGGGAGTTACTTTTAAAAAGTAACTCATTGGGTAGCTCATGATGCAGCAGGCTTTTTTTTTTATAAAGCTCTCCTGAAGGAGAACTCTTTCCTCGTCACTAAAAAAAAAATCCAGCCCCAGGGTGTCCAACGATGGCAGAAAATATTTTTTTAAAAAACGACTTCCGATATTTTTTTTAAAAGGAACTGGGGAAAAAAATACCTTTTCAAATCACCAGAGAACGTTGTTATGCCGGAAAAGGTAGTGTCGTTCCCGTTTATTACCTCCCTTTTCAAATGTAACTTCATTGTAGCCTATAAATAACATACAAGGTAAGTACATTTTTAAGGACGCCGTGGCTGGTTGTGGGTGGCTTCCAAGATCGGTTGGAAGAAACGGTAAAAATGCTGTCTTTCTCCCTGCCCTTCTGTCCCACCAGGTTACCACCAGCAATGTCACATCCCTGCGGTGAGCAACTGCGAGACTCCTTCGGTGACTCCGTGGTTCTGTCGGAGGTGTATCTTCGCCTTAGCTGTACGGGTGAGTAATTCACAGGATTCGCCTTCATTGTGACGGAGACTCGACTAAAACGCCACTCGATTTCTTTTTTTTTTTCCAGTGGCTCAGACTTGTGGCTCGGAAGCCACCCACCCCTCTTTTTTTTCTGGGGAGGAAAAAAAAAAGCTTGTTTTAAATAGGGACTTGGATTAGGGACTTGGGACTTGGTTCCAAAGAGTCAGACTTGAGTCTTGGATCCAAAGATTTGCCAGCATCCCTGGTGGCTGAACTGGGGGGCGGGGGGAAGATCTGTTTCTTGATCTTTTTATCCCCCAATGGGTCTTCGTGTTTTTCACTGCATTTGCTGTTTGCCGTTTTTGCTGGAAAGGTGGTCTTCTCAAGTTCAATGATAATATTAACCGCAATAACGGATACTTCGGTTTTTGGCTAAAAAATTTGCACCTGTTATATAATGCCAGTCCAGGATTGTGTCTTGTATTTTTAAGACGAAGAGGAATAGATGAACACTGCCATGGAATGATATACTTATTTTATAAAATATTATCATTTGTAATGAAGTAACGCCGTCAGAGCTGCGAAAAACGGCAATATTGGGAATAGCTTGCGTATTGCACCGATATGTGAAATATGTAGAGTGGTTTTATTTTTGCCACCGAGTTCTGACATCCGAGAAGGGATTCGAAACCAGATCCGGGTGAATTTGGGGCAGCGAGTGGCAATACACGAAGTGTTCTGCTTCCCCTGCGAGCCTCAACTGCTTGTTGTTGCCGCTTCTACAGAAAGGGGGCGCTCTCAAGAAAGGCGCCATCGCCCGCACCTTACAGATGGTGAAAATGGTTTTGTCGTACAACCCGGAGCAGCTGGATTGGGATTCGCCCCATCGCACCAATCAGCAACAGTGTTACTGCTACTGCGGCGGCCCCGGCGAGTAAGATTGATAAGAGCGAAGCCCGCTGACCCCAAACCACATCAAAAATGGTGGCCGGGTGGCCACTGGGTAGCCCAACCGGCTCCGAACCCATTTTTCTTTTCCGTCTTCGATATCCTGGTGGCAACCTGCTTTCTCTTCTCGCCTTCCGCCCCCTTCCAGGTGGTACCTGAAGATGCTCCAGTGCTGCCGCTGCCGACAGTGGTTCCACGAAGCTTGCACCCAATGCCTCAGCTATTCGATGCTGTTCGGAGATCGGTGGGTACCTCCCTCCCTCGCTCTCTCTCTCTCGCTCTCATCCTGGCGTTTCTTCGTCTCTCAAAAACGGTCAATGCACGATCCAGCTCAGATTTGATGCCATCTAAGATTCCCTCCTGGTTTCCAGGAATTGGCATTTACAGATAGACTGCACTGAAGCATGGAGGCTCCATTTTTAGTTATTATGACGACATTGCTATGCCCGGATTCCCACGTACTGTGCAATGCCCACGTAGTGCATTGCACAGTAGGAATGAATGAATGAATGAATGAATGAATGAATGAATGAATGAATGAGTGAATGAATGAATGAATGAATGAATGAATTTGCAGAAGATCGTTGATACCAGGACAGAAAACTGAGGCCAGGAACCAGGGGCTCCTCTGAAAATGACAAAAAGATGCTTCGTGACATTTTTGAAGACCAGTTTTATGCAGTAGATTCATCTGTGGACTGTAGTATCCCTCTTTTGTTTTTCCAACCCATAGATGCACCATAGCCTTTCGCCTGTTTTTCTAGTAATGGAATAGCGCAGCTACTCTGTTAGAAACTTCCGCTATTTGGCTCACTTGACGGTGCCCTTGGACTCCAGATCCCATGGTCCCCTGGACATTAGACATGTTCCCTGGAGTTGGTGGAAACTGCCAATCGAAACTGCAACCCTCTATCCTCGGTTACTGGACCTTTTGTTCTCGCTTCCGTCGTTCGCCTCCAACCACATGTTGTTGCCTTTTCTTTTGCAGGTTTTATATTTTCTACTGCTCGGTATGCAACCAGAGTCCAGAGTACATCAAACGGCTGCCCTTGAGATGGTAAGTCAACCTGGTGGCATTGTCAGTCTGTGGAACCCCTTGCCACAGGATGTGGTGACGGCATCTGGCCTAGAGGCTTTGAAAAGGGGGATTGGACAGATTCCTGGAGGAAAAGTCCACCACAGGTGA